CCTATCGTTGCTGGGTACCAGGTGACTCATGACGTAGCAGAGCAAGCCTGTGCCACAGCATCTCCTCCTCCTCTGGGCAGCTGGGAGGTCAGTATTCTATCTCTATGATGCTATTAATTGTGGAGCAGTGCAGGTTTACACCATAAAATTTACACCATGGATTTGTATAGGATTCAGCTGAATTTGTCATTATCTTGATCTTTTTTTATCAGTTGCTGATACTTCATGAGTGTATATTTTTTTAAGGTATAGTCACAGAAAAATGTGTAATCTCATGCCTGAAGCCCTCCGAAACATTGTTTTCATGATTTCCATTACCTTTGAAGGCAGTCCTCATTAATGTGTACAGCATATAGGCAGTTCAGCATCACAAAAGAAAATTAAGAATCATGTCCTAATAATAAATATGGCGGGGACATTTATTGAATTGCAAATCAAACACAAATCCTGATTACGTTTACAGAGAACATACTGTATTAATCTTTTCAGCCTTATACACTTAGACAGGCAAAACATTTTTATCTTCCCCGAAGCAATGTATAAATAAATGACCAAATGAAACCAATGTTTTCTAGCTGTTTGTACACAAGGTTTAATTGATTAAAATCTCATTTGTGTCCTGGGTGTTTTGGAGAAACGTCTCTCTTCAGCTATTTAAATAATGTAACCACAGGGCAGTATACAGTTTATGCTGTTGCTGAGAAGTGCTTAGATGATGCCATCATGATGTCAGAAGAAACTGCTCAGTCTAATTGTTTTTGAGATCTAGTCTGAAAATTTTTATTTTTCAGGAAATCTTTGATGCATGGCAATGAATCTGTAGAGTTAGGCACCTGAAAATGTATAATAATTTGTAGTATTAATTTGAATTCTTGTTATATGTTTCCCAAAGCTATTTCCAATTCAATAGATTTTCAAAAACTTAATGCTGCCTTCAAAAAGAGTAATGATGCTCTGCCAAAAATATTACAATTCTAAAATGACTAAATTGAAATATATTTCATTGTTACCTTAAAGCAAATTGTAGCATTATTTGTCTGGCAACTTTATTTTTTAAAAACATTGCATCTAACATACAGTATATTTTAACATCTCATATCCATGCCTTGTATTCTTTCTGCTTGCTCTCATTTCAGTTGTGGAAGGTCAGTACAGTGAAGGACAATGTCTGCACATCTCAGATTTTAGATTTCATTCCCTTCAAAATAACCTGTGGAGGTGGGAAAGTGCTAACGCAGACTCCTGTGGACCTGAAAACCTTTATTTTGACTGATTTGACAGATCTTCTGCATGAAAACATTCAGGCTGCGACTTTTTCGGAGACAGAAGTCAATATCCTAACTTCTCTAAAGAAACAGCTGAATACCCCCCTCTCAGTGGGGAACCTTCAAGAATAAGTGAAGTAAAAATTGCTGATTGCAGATTGTCTGGCATCTGAAATGTAATGCAGTAATGAAACACTGTTAAGAAAAATCAATAAATTCCCCAACATGCTGGTTGCTGTTTGAAAATGTCTCATTTCTTCCATGTTACAAATTATATCCTCCTGCGTCAGAAATTATACTAAGGAAGAGTTTATTTCGTGATGCAGTTTATAATAATAATTTCATCCTCTATTAGAAACTCACTTACAGACTGATTCTGGCCTTCCTTTTCCCTACACAAACTTCTGCCTCTTTTCTCTCATTCTCTTCTGGCTCTCTCCATAAATATAAGTAAAACATTTACCCTATCACAAAAACTAACTAAAAATAGAATAAAAGGTCAAATTAAATCACAAATAAAGTAAAGCCTAGTTAAGTTCTTTTAGCTTCTTCAACACGTATCTCTTTGGTTTTCTGTAAAATCTCATTTTTTCAGACCTTCTCATGCTCTGTGGTTTATGAGCCAGAGAAGACTCTATGAGCTAGTGCATTTAAGACTAGGAATGAATTAATATCAGAAACAAGCTACCCAGCTGTGCTATAAAAGCTCACAAACTGGCTTATTTCAGGAAATGACTGGAATCTTTGGATCAGTTAGCTAATAGCAGCCAAATTAGTTAAGAATACTTCTATTTAATTGTAGGTCCTTTGTTATTCATTCCAGTTGAGCTCTCTATTACGTACCTAAATTGATTATTGATTGTTTGATAAGTTTAGATAGTGAACATGGCCATTTGCCACTGGTTCATGATACCTGGAGAAGACTGATGTAACTAAGCTTGTGAGCAAGTTATCCTGCACCAACATCCACATTATTTGAGTTTCTCACAGCTGTACTGATCCTATTCAAATTCTGTTCTTCTGTCTAACACAATCGTCTTTGGCAGTGTCACCATCACAGTATTCCAAAACAGAGTATTTCACACTGTGCTGGAGACACCAGCAGGAACTTGACTGAAAATTTCGGAATTGCCTATGTTTTTTTCTTCAAACTTTGCCCGTCCAATTGGTGATCTGCTAAACGTGTATTGAGAATATTCAAATCAGGCACAGGATAAATACTAGATCAGCAGTCGCAGAAGAGATCGTGCAGATCTCTAGGCTTGGTGAGTCTTCCTTTCCATATTTTCTACTAACTTTAGAGGTCCAGGGGTTCTATTGTGGTATTTAGATAAACAATAATTATGTATTTCATAGCTTGAAACGCTGCAACCTTCTCACCTTGCGTTTGGCATTCTATAAGCTATTTCACTATTGAAATCTCCAATATAACTGATATCTAGACCTACTGTATTATTCACTAAATCTGAGATTTACTTCAATGTTTCTGTTCTTTTTTATTTCAGTACGTATCATTTCCAAAATATCAAGCTTAAACTATTGAAATGGGTATGTATTTCACTCGCTGGCAACAGACTATAAATATTATGTTATTATTTAACCTGTAATTTCACTTCTAATTGTAGGCTTTCATGTTCTATTCTCACCACGTTTCTGTAATGCCAGATTTTGCTTCCTATTTTTAATGTTGAAACATGTTGCAGTGCACCTTCAGTTTCTCCCTTGCTTGACTTTGTAGGTCTCCGTCTGCTTGTTCTGTCTGTCCTCTTAAGGACCCTGGCTACAGCTGAGCCTCTCCAGTACCAGTAAGTACGATATCAGGAGTGACATTTTTGTATTTCATTGGGATAAATAACAAATCTAGGTGTGACTGAGTATTTGTCTCTTCTTAGCAATTCAGAGATCATCAAAGAAATTCTGTGCTCATGTTTCAAAGAGAGAAACAGGGAAAGAAACACTGAAACCTCCAAATTGCACATACTATATACAGTTTTTATAGTGTACGTATCTTTACGCACTCAAATATCACCATTAAAATGTTAAGAAAATGCCAAAATTTGCCAAAGTAGAATTGAATAATGAATCTGTTGCAACTAATGTTTAATTGAGAAACAAATGACTTTACATGTATAAAAAGGGATCTAGGTAATTTGAAGAAGTGCAATCTTCTTGATTTGTCCTTGAAATTAACTTTGTTTGCTCTGCCAAATTGCAGATGCGAGTGTCACTTTCGAATTCTAGATGGGCAGCTCCGCAAACCCTTTCTCATCCTTCCGGGCCCTGTGGTAGAGACCAGCGGAGGGCCGTGTGATGCAGAGTTGATCTGCAAGGTCCCCTGTCAGTCTATCCTTGCTGGGTACCAGGTGACTCATGACGTAGCAGAGCAAGCCTGTGCCACAGCATCTCCTCCTCCTCTGGGCAACTGGGAGGTCAGTATTCTATACCTACTGTATGATGCTATTATATTGTATATTGTGGAGCAGTGCAGGTGTACACCATAAAAGCTTATCTAAATTTACAGCTGGATTTGCACGGGATTTACCTGAATTTTTTATTAGTCTGATCTTATTTTTTCCATTTGTCCTGCTGATTCTTCATGAGCGTGTATTTTTTTCAGGATCAGTCACAGAAAAATATACAATCAACTGCCAAAAACCATTCCAAACTCTGTGCTTTTATACCAGTCATAGGTTTAGTCCATGCTGCAAAAAAGAAGAAAGAGAACACAACGTTTCGGCCGTGGAGCCTTCTTCAGGTGTGAGCCGTGACTGCTGTCACGGTTGACATCCTTCCTCTAGAGGGCGCTTTTATACCATATCTCTTTCTCTTGAAGTTTAAAAATTAAAAATCAGGCCGTGAAATATACTGTTATACTAAATATGGCTGTCAAATTTATCGTATTGTATTTAGCATCTCATCTCTGTGATTTCTGTGCTCACTCTTGTTTCAGTTTGCGAAGTTCAGTATGGTGAAGGACAATGTCTGCACGTCTCAGGTGTTGGATCCCATTCTGATGACATTCACCTGTGGAGACGGGAAAGTAGTAAAGCATACTCCTGTGACCCTGGACAACTTTATTCTGCATGGTGCAACAAGACTTCTGCTTGAAAATGAAAACTGAGCGTTTCATTTGGAACCTTTCTGAAAAAGAAATAAAACAACTTTTGATTGCACCTTCAATAATTAAACACAATAAAGAAAAATCAATAAAATCCCAAAAGTGTTGGTTGTGGTATGAAAATTTCTTGTCTCTTCCTCATTGTACAAATAATATCCACAGACAAGGTACTTATCTCCTTATCTGGAGATAAGGCACAGATGAAGTTTTACTTAATAAAACATTTAATAATAATTCCATTAGAAAACTGCTGTCATGGTTGACATCCCTCCTCTAGAGGGCGCTCCACAACTCTCTTGTCATTAGATCCGTGTGCTTGTACCATCCATCTCTGTGCCTTGTTTGTCTTTCCCTATGTAACCCCAGCTGCTCCAGGGCTCAGGGCTCAGCCCTGGACTGCGGATGTCTAGAGGCCCTACTATCAGGCTATGGCTTGCCTGAGGGCATAGGCCTCATCCCCATAAAATTATTTACTTATGTTTGAAAGCGATAAGGAGGGAAAGAAACACTGAAACCTCTAAATCCTACAAATATTTGTACATATCTTTATTTGGTGATGGGGAGCTTCACCTTGTGATTCCTGGCCCGGCGGTAGAGACCGGTGAAGGGACATGTGATGGAGAGTTGATGTGCAAAGAGCCCTGTCAGTCTATCACTGATGAGTACCAGCTGACTCATGACACTGCCAAGCAGGCCTGTGCCACATCATCTCTTCCTTCTAAGGGCAGCTGGCAGGTCAGTATTCTGTACCTAAACCCCACCGATTGTAAATTTCCCCATTTTGATTTGAATGCAGGTTCGTAATGCCCAGACTGATTTGCATGTAATTTGTCTGGATTTGTTTGTGACTCTATTTAATCTAAAATTCTCCTTTTTTTTTAAATAGGTACATTAGAACACACAGTCATTAACTGTATAATACCCCTCAAAAGTGTGTGGTTTCTCTTGCACCTGAAGACATTTTAGCATGAGAAGCATGCTTTAGGAATTATATTTTTATTGTCATTTTAAAATTTGGTGGAAAATAAATTGAAATGATGCTTATATAAAAACCTTAGTGATATCTTTATATGCAATTTATAGTATTAAAATGTCATGCCTTACACATTTAAACATGTAATTTGATGTTTTCTGAAGTTTTATTCATGTTATTACATGCAATGTACAAATAAATAACAAAAAAGAAAAGAAAATATTCATACAATAAGCTCATACAGTGAAAAAATCATATATTTTTTAATATTTTTTTGTTGGCCTAAAAAATGTAACTACAGTACAGTTCTTGTTTAAAACTTTTGTGAATTATATTGTTGTGATCTCAGACTAAAATGCTTATTCTAATCTGGGTTCCCCATGGTTAAAAGTCTCCAGAATGAAAAGTGATTCTTTTTTTTTTCTTTATTCCATAATACTTGATTAAATTCTTATGAATATTAGATTAATGTTGTTTCAACTAAGTATTACAATTACTGAATTGAACTAGAATTGATCTTTAGCTTGGGGACTCAAAAGCCTCATAGACAGGACTTTTAATCATATTGTTAAGTAAAGTGTGATTGCAGGTGACTTAAAAAGAATGTAGAAAACAGCACTCACAAGAGAATTCAGGAGAGAAGATGAAAGATATTTCTCTTTCTGCTTTTCCAAGGAGTGTGACAGAGAAACTCACCAGATTCGCTATGTGAGGAAGTTGTGCAGAATTTATCCTCTCAAATACTGTACATAATTTAAAAAAAGTTCAATTTTAATAAAAAATGTAAAACTAAATTGAAAAAGCAGCAATAATTTGTTTTTCAAAACCATCCGGGACACTACTGTTCATCTGTTTTAAACCATTTTCTCACCCAAGAGCTGGAACGACTTCATTTATGAAAAGCAACATTGTAGGTTTCCAGCATGAAGCAGTGGTGCCACATGTAAAAAAGTGACCCCAGTGACCCAGATTTTACTCCCAACATGGATCTCACATTGCTTTTTCCAGTTGTTAAATGGATTAAAGAACTTGATTAGAGTGCATTATTTGTTGCTCTTGAAAGGCGTCTGTTTTCAAGTGAGCTAACAATTTTATAGCTTAATGAAAAAAAAATCTGTCAGTGCTAGAATTACAAATTGTTTTTAAAACTTGTCAGCTTTAAACTTTTCTACTCAGCATTTTGTGTTTCAAGAAATCAGGTCCGAGCACTTAAAAGAGTGAGAAGGGAGTGAAGACAAATATCATGATAGGAAAGTTGGAGCTGATTCCTGGAACAGGTGACATCATCCGAGGTGCAGGTGCCCAGACATTTACAGAAGTCTCAGTTTGTGAAATTCTGGATTCAGTTCCTACCCAACAGCGCTCTGTTTAATGCGAGCTGCTGTTTGAGGATTCCCAGGCACGGCAAGAAAATTGAGGTTTTCAGGGATGACAAGAAGTGACAGAGATGATCAAGCATTACCTTTTACAGTTGTGATAATTAAATGAGCCAAAAAACTATGAAGGTGTTAAAATGTTTGAATCTACCAGATTAGATTTTGTGCATTCCAAATTAGTAGTGAGCTAGAAATCCATTTATAGTGGTTTACAAGAGAATGCTTCAACAGTATTTTATTCTATATTACTGCTCAAGAGCACTGCTCCCTCTGCAGGATTAGAACTCACAGTCTTTGGGTCTGAGGCGTAGAGTGTAAACCAGTAAGTCACTTTACAGCTTACCATCAGGACAATGAAACTAGCTGAAAACCTGCTGGTTTTCACTGGCCTGCTTCATTTCTAAAGTAGCATCACAAATTTGACTTTGCCATTCTAGTCCAGCCTCTCAGAAATCTATCTCCTGTTTCTGTGACATCCAAAGGGTTGAGTGTGAAATTTGAGAATGTCAGGCGGGGGGAGACACAATGGTGTAACAGTCACAGGCCACAGTGCTCTCTTTATAACTGGACACTGCTTTAAATAAAAGATTAGACCATACATTTTGAATAAATAACCATAATCGAATTTCTGAATTTCAAAACCTCACAAATTCCAAATAGCCAACTGTATAAATTGACTCTCATACAATGAATACAATTTTGATTTGCCTATTCTGATTATCTGAGAAATCATCTTATCTTTCTTAGGTCCTGATGGTTATTTCACCAAAATCGCTGAGGGATGTGTGAGCCAAAATGCTTGCCATATATCTGTATCATTTCTGTCACACTTGTTGGCCTTTGCATTCCAAAACATTCCACAATTTTGGCTGCAGAGCTTGATGGTCCAGTTTCATTATAGAGAGTTAGGCACAAAAGTGGATCTGGACAGCTTTTTGTAGATGTCATTGTATTCAGTCTGTAGTCAGGTTCACCATATGTCAAGCAAAAGGCTGTTTTTTTGGTAGAGTTATCCATATCCAGGAAGCCTGCAATTTCTTGGAATTCAACCTGTGTCCCTGTGTCCTTGTCTGGCTTATGCGTTCAGCTTGCTATTCATTGGATACTGTGCATATTCACTCAGTTTAGTACACTATGTGAGTGGAATAGCTGTAATTTAATTTTCTGCTTTTTCTTATTTCTAATTTTATTCATTTGTAATAAGATGCAGTTGTCACTCTCTCTTCTATTATTAATCTACAATTCCACTATGCTCTACATTATCAAATTAAAAATAGACATAAACTACAAGCATGCTATGATGTAAAGTGTGTTGTTTAGAATGTATTTTGAATATTTAGCATAAATTAATTTTGAGAATGTGATTTCATGTGAGAAAAAGCCAAACTGTGCATCAAAGATAGAAGCAGTGAATAAGAATATAATGTAACAGGTAAACTTTACATCAGGTTTTTATTTTTTTGTGTGCAAAATGTCTTATTGCATGCAGTTTACTGTTTTTATTACTTCCTCTGCTCATTTATACAATAACAATAATTACCATAATCAAGTCTGATAGACAATGTTCTACCTGTGATGCTATTGCTAGGAGGAGAATGGTCCATTCATTGAGGACGAAACTTTGGAAATTTGACTTCTGTTTCCAGAATTGTTGCTCATGAAGTGTAGAGGTTTTGACATATTTTGTGGGGTGCGTGTTGTTGCTGTCTTATTTTCATGCAGGTTCGTGATGGAAGCAGGTATTATCTCAGAGGGACAATGAAGACTTAGCATATAACTTAAATGTCTTTATTGCATGAGTAATTAAAAAAACAGTTTTACTAATCTCTTGTTGCTGTCCTCCTGCGACTACATTGATAGTGCTCTTTGTATTATGTCCAAGTAGACACAATTTGTCTATAGTAACAACCAATCAGATGTCACTCTACAATCACAGCAATTAGTCATATGATAATCGCAAAAAGTAAGGACATCTGATTCTGTGTTGCCTACACTGTAACTATATTATTCAATGTACAAAATATATAAATATAGGATCATCTACAGCTCTTGGCCTGCTCCTCTAAAATGTGACTAACAGGTACAATGTTACCACTTTAGCAATAGGAATATGAGGGATACTTTGATAAATATAATTTAAACACAAACAGACTTGCTCCTTTTGGACCTTTACAATAAACTCTAAGTGCATTTGTAACAATTATTTGAGAGATAAACGATAAATCAGAAAAGATAGTTTCTCAGAATGTTTATTATTGTTAAGCATATCATAACAGATTTCCAACTGCTATCAATTTGCGTGGTACAGAGGTTATCAAAATTTGCATAAAACCTTATAGACCAGACAAAATATGACAATTATAAGGACAAAGGAGGCATCCATGACTAAAAAAACTACCAATCCGGGAAAATATTCATTTCGCATCATTCAAACATAGAAAAGATTAACCAAAATTAACAGATACATAATCAAGTGAGATATAAACACAGGTTAAGGAGATTGACTGATGAAGAGAAAGTTCTTTGGTTTGGAAACCAAAATGAATATTGGCATTATTACTATAAAACGTCATCACCTATATGCATGGACTCTAAACCAAGACTTATTCAATAATAGTTCAGGAGATCTGGTGACAACTCAAGGGAAAAGAA